TGCTGAACTTCTGTTCATTTCCATGGGATATCTTTGGGGTAAAAAGTGAAAAATCACCTCCCTTTTGCTCCCTGAGAGCCTAACAGGGTCCCTGTGCTGAGACGATCTCTTGGGCCGAAGCACTAATGGGATCCAGATGCTGCTGGGGTGTGGAAGGGGACAGCAATGTTGAGGATTCAACGAAGCGCTGATTGATAGGGTTCAGGCTCAAGTTAAGAGTCACATATCTTGACACTGATTCGCCCCACCCCACCCCCACTTCTTTCTGTCTTTCTTATCCTGTCTCTCCAACATCTATCCTGTGTGCTGTCATGTTGCCTCCTAGTGCCTGTGTTTTATGTACCCTGCTGAGACAGTGTGCAGCTCAGTAGGGAGCAGACGGCGTCTGGCTCTTTGCATCACCTAAGCTGACTATTTAATAAACACTGTTACAGGCAGAGGCTGAAACTTAACCACAGTTTATAGGTATCAAGAACCAGCTTTCAGTGACTCTTTCTATTTGCCTCATTGTGAAATGTTAATTATAGCAAATGAAAAACAAAAACACTAAATGTAAATCTCTAGTTGAGAGTGGAACTGAACTTTTTTGTACATTTTCCATCTGTGTACTTCTGTGTTTTCCTTACCGAGCACTACAGAGATGTTGCTGTGTTTCAAGGCTGTTCAAACAAAAATACATTGTGTATGAAGTGATTTTTCAAAATAGTAATTTATGGTATGTAAATGAGCCTCTCAATGACCTTCAAGACAAAACATCACCTCTGTGTCACTGGCCAAACAAAAACCCCAAGCAGAACCGAGTTACTCTGAACTGTGCAATGACCATCTCCTGTATTTTTTGCCTAATGACAATAGGAATATGAATTGGCCCTGTGCCATCTTAGTTGAAATGTTTCTGCATCTGTAAACATCTGTCCTTTTCCCCTCAGGACCATGCTGACTTTGCAGAGCTCCACTGTCCTGCTGCTTTTGAGCTTCCTGGCTGATCTGAGCTGCTCCCTGAACCCAAGAGACCCCAATGTGTGCAGCCTTTGGGAGAGGTGAGGCCCATTTATCTATGACCAACAAATGCTGCTGTGGTATGAAATTAAACATAGTTTCTCATACAGTGCATGCATACACATGGTTGAAAGTTTACAGTTTGGTTTTACTAGGACTAAGAAGGGTCAGCACCCAGTCAAGGCACTCATTTATCACATAAACTTATGGAAAGAAACATCATCACTGTGGTATTTACTTACATAATCGCTAGACATGGGAAACTAACCTAGTCTGTAAACAAACATGTCTCAATATAAAATTCAACATCCACTTTTGCTATTTTAACAGCCAAATTTGTTTTCAGGATAGAAATAGTTGGTTACCTGGACAAGGGCCTGTAAGACCTATGAAGCTCTATGAACTGCCAAAATGTGAGCCACTGGGCATTGGGCTGGTGTAATGTCAGACCTGAGCTATGTAGGATATTTACACAAAATCACCACCTCAGTCCTGGAAATCACATATAGCTGATGCCTGAGACAACAAAATTATTAATTAGGTTTGTGCTCTCATCTGTGCTAATACTGTGCAAGTGCTGTACCTCAAGCAGAAAATAAAACAGATAAATGTTCTGATAAAATCATTACTGTAAGTGTAGTGTGACCGCTGTACTCTGAAACAAAGCTGAGAGGCTAGAGCCATGCTAGCAGCTCTGTGATGCACTTAGGGAGAGGTGATGCACGTGAATGTGTGTACTGAACTTCATGGCAACCTATCCAGCCATTGTTGAGACATTTCTGTTTGACAGGTCAGAACTTTTCAGCATTTTTCCAAAAGTAAAACTAATCAAGTTTATTTAAAATGGAGCAGTGTAACCTTTCTATCCCCTCTGGCCGCCAATCAGTGACTGTGTCAATATTGTCTCATATTTCAGCTTCACCACCTCGGTGAAAGAGTCCTACTTGCATCCCTATGACCATGCAACAGACGAGCCCTGCTCGGACCCTCGGACCTCCTACAGATGCACACGCCACAGGTGTGACAGCTCGTCTCCTGTTGGACTGACTTCCTGCTTTTACCAGTGCAGGGACAAAGCATCCTGTTTGACTGTGTTATTCTTTCAGAATCACCTACAAAACAGCCTACAGGCAGGCGGTAAAGACAGACTACCGCAAGAGGTACCAGTGCTGTCCAGGCTATTACGAGAGCAGAGACAAATGTGTTCGTAAGTACAGTAACTGAGAAAACCTTTTAATAGTCAACTAGCACTCATGCCTCATTGTTATCAAGACAGGCAGTAGGAAAGTTTTGAAAAGATTCAGTCCTCAGCCAGCAGGGAACTGTCAGACTCATACATGCCCACTATCACGTCGATATATAGCACTACATACACACATGCCAATAAACTCGGTGACCACTTTATTAGGTACACCTGTAAAATCAAATGCAATGCAAGAAAACAGATTTGCCATAGATTCAACCATTACAAGGTTTATAATGCTTAGCTTTCTGTTCCATTTCCTAGTTTTAATCTAAATTTAAATAAACTAATAAACTGTGTCAGTTCACAAACACTCACATACTTTCATGCCATGCAGGTCCTACTGTAAAGAACCTCATATGTCAGGTAAACAAGACTCAGTCTGCCTGTTTACATGTACTGTATTAATCTGGTTATTTCCCATTTACTGCCCTAATCTGGTTCCATACGGTCAGAGGCCCTTAGCCAGGACCATCTTTGTTACTTTATATGAAAAAATCCACTTATTGCAGCTAGAATTTTGATGTTGAAACTAAGTCATGCTGTATTGTACAATATAGCCACAGGTGCACGTTTGCAAACCGACATGCACAAAGACCCAAAGCCAAGTGATGATGGAATGTGATGATGATGGAGGAATACTATCAGCACTAATCCAGCATAATACCAACATGGTTACTAAGGTTGTGGTTTACAAATTAAGCAACACCACATTCTGCAGTTTGACATGCAGTAGCCCATTCTCATCACTCATAGTAAGCTCCTTTTTCCTTTCTTTCCACCCAACGTGCATAGTCGATGTGAGTAGCACATGACAGTAGAATTACTAAAATTACAGGTTTGGTTCCCCATCAGGCTTCTCGGCTGAAAATGCTAATACATTTACTGGCAATACTAGCTGGAATTTTAAACTTTAAAATGTGCATTGCTGTCACTAAAACCCTTGGACACCCATCATGGTAATCAGAACCAGAATCAGATTCAGAATCAGCGTTATTGGCCAGGAGTGTTGAACACACAGGAAATTTAATTTTCATGCGTTCCATTTCAACAAATTTTATTTCATAAACTAAGCATCAGTTAGTGATGGAGTCAGAGGTGTGGCACTGCTGTCTGTGCAACTAAGGGTTGAACAAATCCACTTCATAACTATGGTCCACACTCGGCACGACTATCACACCAGGGACTTAATGCAGTCTGCTTCAAGAAAAATAATGTAGTTTATTTTTAAATACTCATGTAGGTTTCCACATCAGGGCTTATTTATGGAGTAAGGTGACAGGCTATTTATGAAATTTTAGTTGATCCATCAGTTTTTGTTGTATTTCAGGTGTTTTCATGTGAATATTTATTTTATTAATTCTTTTAACATCTTGGGACCAAGTTAACATGTTATTGTTTGGATTCGATGCCTTTTATAGAGCTACATGCACATTTAAATTTGGAAGTGACATAATACTCCTATACATAATTGTATACCACATTTTGGGTAACCTTGGGAACATTACAAATATTAATGCAGTGTTAGTTGTTATTTCATTAACTTAAAAAAAACTTATACAGTAATTAGAGCAAATATGAAGGTTTGGGCACCTGACTTAGTCTGTACCTCGAAGTACTTGTATGTGCTTAAAATTCAATTAGGTGCAGTTTTACATGACAATAACAGATGCAGTTAAAATAAGTAAGAAAAATTGAATATTGTTGTTAGAAAGCACCAGAATGATGCAGCTGTCACAGTTTGCTGACACACTGTTATTGCTGATCTTCAGCGGCGGTGACTTCTATAAATAGAGTGAAACTATAGACGGTCTTCAATGGGTTGAGAAAATGACCACCTTAGCTTTGTAAACCTTAAACCACGCTTGATGATGTTAGAAACGCTTGAGTGTAATGACAGCTTTATTGTGCTTGAAGAACTGACTGATAAATGTTTTTCAATCAGCAGAGATAATGTATTTTTGGTTGCTTACTGTACTAAATGATCTGTGTGTGTGTGGAGGTTTTCTTTTGCAACCACACAAAAAAGCCTCTGATTGTAGTGAGTGACATCAGGAAAGCCAAGACGGCGCCTACTGTTTTTTGTAATTGAAATAATGCTCTTTAACATGTTATCTATGTCTCCTCCTAAACCCACTTTCGGTACTCTACAGTGAACTCTTTTGTTTATTTTCTAAATGCAGTACACATAATTATATGTAATTTGCCTTACCTCCTTAATTTGATGCCATGTCAGTCTTTTCTTAGATCCCCTGCATCCCCAGCCTCCAGTGTCCACACCTAGAAAAGAGAAAAATAATCAGTGAAATTTTTCTTCATTGTGTTTGGATGAAAAGAAAAAACCCCCACATGTGGACCTACAACACAACGTTCTCCGTGGCATGTGGTTAGAAAATGTTTGTCTGGAAACAAAAAATGTAAGAGATTTTTGGCGGAACTTTTAGTCCTCAGTCATAATTGCACACTGGAAGTAACTTAATTAATACATGAACCGTTTCTAATGCTGGCATGTACCCAGCTCAAAGACTCTTTGTAAGAGGAAGCTTCTTGACAGTATGAATGGCATCCAGCCTCGGTGCTTTCAGCTGCATGGTTGAGCCCAGCTGTTGGGCTGGCAGCTCATACACTGTTTATGAAGGGTGGAATAAATTTAGAGGGAAATAATGCAACTCTGCTGAATAGGTTGTTGATTGAATAAAAACACTGAATAGTGTGCTTTTGAAACAGATTTAATAGGGACACAGTCTTTGAAGAAATTATAATAATTACAACAACAACCATTTTATACAATGTGCTTCAAATTTGAACTGGCAAAAAACAAACATATACACATTTGCCTTTATTCCTTGTGGGGACTTTACATTGACTTACATTCATTTCCTGGAGGCTTACCCTAACCTTGAACCAAGCAGCCACCTTAAATTCAATGATCTAACAGCATCTGGTCCCCTCCATGTACACAGGCCCCTTACTCTCACCTCAACTATCTCTACTAAATGTCTAACCCTAGTTTAAACTCTAACCTAAATCCTAAAACCAGGTCTCAACCCTCATCTCTGAAGTTGTCAGGACTGGCTCAGATGTCCTCACAACAATGGCAAGTGGAAAACAAAACGAAACTAAACTAAACAAAAAACAATGTAATAAAAACATGTAAAGACACACACACACACACACACACATTAGACAAAAGGGGACACACATAGTAATTAGTGCTGTGGGAATGTTATAAAAATCAAACATGAATAAAGTCACATCCAAGGAATTCAAGGGATCAGATTCATGATGGTGTACTTGAGCTCATCTACTTGGTAAGTTATTAATTGCTTTTCTCATCAACAGCTCGCTGCACCAGGGAGTGTGTCCATGGCCGGTGTGTCGCTCCAGACCGGTGCCAGTGTGAGGGAGGCTGGCGAGGCGACGACTGCTCCAGTGGTATAAATCAGCCTTTTCTACAGTCTGACAGACATTTCCTCACTCTGTCTCTCATTTGCTTTGTCTTTCCCCTCATGTCAGGTGCACTCACAAACATACTTCTCATGCACAACAGGAAATGGCCGGTAGTCAAATGGCTGATATTCACATACACCACTCCATCACACACTAGAAGCCTTTCCAATGGAAACACATGCACAGCAATGAGTCACTGTCAGCCACAGCCCAGGAGCCAGTTTACTAGTCCAGACAGACACCGAGCAGCACCTCCAACTCTCACTCACAGCTACTGTTTAACATTAATAATAGTCATAATTTCATAACAGCTTTTCTTATTGAAGTAGAGAAGTGCTCTCAAGTAAAAGAAACAAAACAATCAGGGGCAGTAAAAGTAAAACTTCCTACATATTCCAACAAATATGTAACTAAATATCATGAGAACAATAAGTTATGAGTTAAGTACTGAATCAGAATGAGCTTTATTGGCCAGGTGTGTTGGACACATGAGGGATTTGACTCTGGTACAGCAGCTCTCAAAGTGTATGTACAGTGTCCTTCCACAAGGCAACGGGCAGACAAATAAGCATGATAAGACTGAGACAACAAAAAAAGAAAAAGAATGTGCAAACAAGAAAAAGAAATGTGCATTGGGAAAATAAAAGTACTTATAAACATGCACTTTAAATGTAAGAGATACTGTACTGCGAGGAGCCACAGCCCTACCTCCTGGAGGTTGAGTAGGTTGTTTCCTAACTGGAGGATTAGCGGCTTGATTCCCAGTTTGTCCAGTCAACATGTTGAAGTGTCCTTGAGCAAGACACCGAACCCCCAGTTGCTCCTGATGATAACACTGGTGTGTGAATATGTGAATGTTTGTGAGTGCGAATGGGCGAATGGCCAAGTAGTGTGAAAGCGCTTTGAGTGTGCTGTAAAGCGCTATACAAGTATAAGACCAGACCATTTACCATAAAATGAGTTCAGAGAGACATTAAACCTGTTCCTTCTGTCCATTATGGCTTCTACTAAACTAAAGTCAGCAAAAATAGTTATATAATAGTTATTCAAGGCACCAACTCAGAACAGTGAGTCTAACTCTGTTTGTCTTGTCTGATATTTTTTTAAATTGCATTGCACAGAGCTGCTGCTCCCCTCACTGTAGCAAAGTTTTCCACTACCTTCAGCCCTCAACTGGGTCAATAGTACACATCCCTCTCCCTTTTCCCCCTGTTCCTCTACAGAGAGAAGGAATTAGTTTTAATGAGTAGCGGTTGATGTCTTGACAGGGGATGATGGTGAGAAGGGGAAACGGAAAATGTTACCTAACTCTCGCTCTCTCTCGCACGGCCCAGTCTGTCCTCACAGTCCCTCTCTGCTCTAGCCATCGCTTATGCACATATTCTTAGTTTGTTTTCAGCTTTTTTCTCTCTCAGGCCTCGGCTCCACTGGATTGTCCTATAATGGAGTCTTTTTGGCAGAACACAACCTGGAGTTATCTAACTGTGGAAAGGAGGAGAGGGGCCTGAGGTTTTCAGATTCTACACTGGTTTACCCATGAATGTAGCGAGCTGAGATTGAAGTGAATGAAAAATGGGAACATTACAGTGATTGTAGTTAGAGAACGGCTGAAATGTGGCTCATTAGAAGCTAGAATATGCTACATCAGAGAAATGTTTCCGAACAGATTTTGAGCAGGACTTAAAAACAAGTAATGAAGGCTACTTGCTAGATTACCATGAGACTATTTAGACTTTGAACACAAACAAAACTCAAGCCACTACTTGGACAATTCAGAGGGGAAAAGGAAGAATGTTCCCACTATCAGCACGCATTCCCTATAAAACACAGTGAGAAGATGGCTATTCTGAAATGGGCGCCAATCAGTGGGTTCACATGCATGAAGCTTTGGAGATACTGGTCTGAATCACAGCTGGGGTCAATTAATGATGCTCTGTGTGGATACATATTCAGAGCTCCATCACAGAAATGAACTAGCTAAGATTCAGGAAGTCTCCTTGAGACCAAGACAAACCTGCAGAACATAAACAGTTTAAGCACAAGTTTACATGAAAGCTGTTCGGTCACTCAAAGCAGTAATCAAACAAAGCTACACTGATTGAAACAACAACAAAAAAGTCACTTAAAGTATTGGTACATAGAATGAATGAATGGTAGGTTTTGCAGTTCATTCTACATGCAGAAGAGTCTTGACACTACACATCCAATCTGGTACATTTCTCCTTATTCACTTAGCCCCTATCAGGATGTAGCAGGCATCAGGTCTCACACCGACAGCCCTGCAAACCCTTCAGCTTCTCGCCGTCCCAGAGAAAGTCTGTGTAAACATAATCACTGCTCTAGCTAAGTTTCTCATTACTCAGCGTGACACACTCTAGCAGCACCCCCTTTTTAATGCCCACACAGAGAATGAGCCAAATTATGATTCATTTAAACAAAAGAGGCAAGGGTCCTGCTCCGAGTTAGTGCAATAAACACTGCAGTCCATGGCTGCAGTGTTTTGCTCCAAACCAAGTTTGGCTCTACTTTACCATCTGTGTAATAATTGCCAAAGTAGTCCATGTACTTTTAAAAGCAATGGCACGGCACATGTGAAACAGAGGCAGGAGTAATGGGGGAACTGGGAGCATGGACTTGTGCAGTGTGACGTGTAGCTCAGACCTCAGCGCACGGTCAATTCTGCACAAGAACTGTCTGCTGCTCACATTAAAAAAGATGATTCAAGAGGTCAGCATGAAATTTTTGGCATTATTGTTAGCATGAAGGAAGATAACTAACACCCATCCACCTGTTACATCAGCACTGTTTTCTCATTGATGTCTGATGCCCAAGACAAAGTTATTGAGGAGAAATCTGAGGAATGCACCCATGACCAGTCTGGGTTCTCTCAGTGGACTGAAATCTCTTCATGATGAACTGAAATCCAAACCCTGTGTGAATCTCCACCACGTACCTCCTGGAGCCAATCCTAAGCCTTCTGTAAAATTTACCTTTTAAAACCCAACTCCTCCTGTGAGCTCCGTGCAAAACCTCCTGCCAATTTGAAATTATCTGTCAGTAACACAACACTCCTGAGCAGATCTGAATTCAACAGCCCAGGGTTGTGGAGGCATGGGGGAGAAAATGTGTGGAAGAGACTGTGTGTCATCCCCCAAACACTCATTCTTCTCGTTTCTGTCCTGTTGTTCATGTCTGTGCTGTTGAACACATTGAATTTAATATGATTTGTTTCTTTTTATTTGCTTTTTGTGACATCATATGCTGTAAATGTACACTATGGTGTAGGGGAACTAAAGCGAATGAGGAAATCCAAAACCGACAAAAAATGATGATACTTGCACTTATACACGTGTAATTGTGTTTTGCTTCGATGATTTTATTTCATTTCCAGCATTTGTGGACTAGGTTTGGCTGCAGAAAACAGGCCTGTTACTGGAAGCTGCCTGGCTTGAATCATTGGAAAATGTGGGCAAACCAGAGTGAGAATGTCCCTGGTGTGAATGTGTGTAGCTGTTTAAGTGCAGGGGTAGGACGGCGCTGAAAGAAACCTTCCTCTGAATAAATACGTCTTCAAGTCCTTTTTACTTCAGAAAACAGAATCATGACACATCACAACAGTTTGTCCTTTTACCTTTCAGCCTGTGATGACAAACACTGGGGCCCAGACTGCAGTCAGCAGTGCAACTGTGAGAACGGAGCTCTCTGCGATCCTGTGAAGGGGACATGTCAGTGTCCTCCGGGCTTCATGGGACGCTACTGCAAGGAGTCCTGTCCTGTGGGCAACTTCGGGAAGGGCTGTCTGCAGAAGTGCAAGTGTGGGACTGGAGGATCCTGTGATAAAGCAACAGGAGAATGCTTATGTCAGGATGGGTTCACTGGGACATTGTGAGTGCACAAAACTGAAAAAATAACTAGGAGCTGAGCATACTGTCTGTGGAGAGTAATTCAAAATAGCTATATAGAAAATGATGACTAAGTTAAATTCAAAACACTAATTATCCCTCTGGGGCCAGTCAGAAGCAAATGGGTTAACGAATATAGAAACATCGTCTAAGAGCCATTTTATAAAAGCTAGCAGCTCCGCAAGGCTGCACTTGTGCACAGAAGTGCTTGGAGAACATTTGCTAATTAACACTAGACCAAAGTGCAGCTGAGGTTGATGGGAATATTTTAGTTTTGGAGATATCTGCTCATAAACCAAAGTGAACAATTAAAAAAACGTGATGATAGTGTTGCATGGAAATTCACACGACCCCCAAATGTTATTACAGTTCATCCAGACACAAACATGAACCAAATTTCATGACAGTCTCTTCAACCACTGTTGAGAAATTTCTCTCACAGCCCCAAATGTTAACCTCATGGTTTCACCAGGAAAACAAAAGCTATAAATTACTCTTTATGGTATGAGCTATTTTTTAGAGTACATACAGTTAATTCTTTAATTGAGGAGACACTCGATACCTCACTTCATTACACTTTATTGCATTATCTTAATTTTCTCACGAGTTTCCACAACTTAATTTTAAGATTAAACAAGACCCTGCTTTTCTTCACTGTAATCTGTGAGTCATGTCTTGTTGCACTCTGTTTTTTAGATGCCCCAGAGGAAGAGGAAGAAATTGAAATTCTTCCCTACTAGATATTAGTGGAAACTCGAACTGCCAATGTGAAAGCACAACGCAGCACTTTGAGCTAAATAAAAATGGGGGTTCGGCAACACTGATTATGGTATAAAGTTGCAAGATGAATTGTGTATATCTGAAGACTGTCCGTGTTATTTCATCTCTGGGGTGTATTAGAAAAATTAATATCCCAGCACTGAATTATATTACAGGTAGTTTATGCCAAGAAATCTGAATGGTCAGAGACAGGTTCCAACTGTACTGATTCCCACAAAGACGCTGTAGTGCCAAGTCTTATAGTATCGAGGGAGCTGCTGTTACTGCAGTATGTTTCTTTTTGCTTTCTCCTTTTTTTTCTGTAGAGTAGTTTAGAGGAATATAACTGAGCTGTACAAACTGTTATGTGTTTTCTATAAGATCACTGTGTATGTGCAGTTCTTTTGTAGAGTCACATGATTACTGCGTTTTTAAGTTGAACTGTAGTTGAATAGAAAAGGAAATATTTAAGTAGCACTTTAAATTATAGTGCAGCGCTAAAGTATGTAGTTACCTTCCACCACAGTTTGTGCTGATGCCTGAATAACCTGTTTGATAAAACTCTTCCCTATAGAATAAAACATTTACTTTAGTCCTCAGGGAAATTCCCAGAATACTGTTTTAACTGATTAGTCCTTTAATCTTCTTTACCTTTCTTACTAGTTGTGAGATGTTATGCTCCAAGAGATGCCAGGCACGATGTCCCTGCCAGAATGGAGGTATCTGTAAGGGCAAAGGGATCTGTGCTTGCCCCCCTGGGTGGACGGTACGTTCATGTTTAAGTGTGTATCTGTAGAGATTTCCTTGTTTTAATTTAGCTCATGTTAAGTTTCAACTGGCTCCAAACTTTGGAAAAACTTTTTTTTTAACCTTGATTTATATCTAAAGGTGACCTGTCATCTCATGCAGATGCAGGATTTTCCACTGTTGTGAAAAATATATCATGAGGTTTCTTTGTTTTTGGGAGATGTGCATAAACTGGTTCGCGCTTTGTTCTGGTTCTTGCAATGAAGCGCCCACAATGATTTGTGATTTCTCTTTTGTTTCTTGTCGCTCTGCAGGGTGCAGTCTGCACAGAGCAATGTCCAGAGGGAAGGTTTGGACCAAACTGTGCTGAGGAGTGTGTCTGCCACAACAGGGGAAAATGTGACCCTGAAACTGGACAGTGCCAGTGTGCCAAAGGTTTCACTGGTAACAGGTGCGTATGTGGCTGCATTTGCCTATTCTTATGTGTGGGACCGTCTTTCATGCCACCTTTTGTGTCTGGTATAGTCAGTGACAGCTTCTCCCTCCACTGCAAGTGAAGAACCAAAATAATAAACTCCTAAAATACGTAAAATCTTCAATCCTCATTGAATGTTTTGGCATCCATTTGATAGGCCCATACATTTGCAAACTGGTGTTTGCAATATATTTATGTCAAAATACACAGTTTCTCTTCATTATACAGTTAATCTAGTGTGGTTTTTAGTAAAACTCTAACCATTTGCAAACCCAGTGAAAGGCAAACACGGCCTACTGGCTGACCACAACACAAAACGGCATTTGGTTTGTGGCTGATGCACAAAATCAATACTAGACAAGTGCATTAATTGTATCTATATAACCCTGTGTGTTCTGCCCTCAGGTGTAATGAGGAGTGTGCTGCAGGTACTTATGGTCAGGACTGTAAAGGTGTGTGTGACTGTGCCAATGGTGCACGTTGCTACAACATCGATGGAGGCTGTCTATGTGAGCCAGGCTTCAGTGGTCCACAGTGCAGGGACAGGATGTGTGCACCCAGCAAATATGGCATGCACTGTGAACGCACGTGTCTCTGTCAGGACAAACACACGCTCAGGTGAGTGGGTGCTGTCAGGAAAAGAAGAAGGGATTGAACTAATACAAAGATCTCTCTCATGCAGCACTGCTCTGGGGGCAGAAATGGTCCAATTTTTGTTGAGCTAAACCTCGGTGAGCTTTGCCAAAGAGAAACAATGTTGGGCAAGTTAGCTCTATTTACATGTAGACCTTAGCTCACTGCCTCATTAAAGAGTCTGTCCTGCATGGTTAGCTCAGTTTAGGGCATAAGATTGGGACAGATTTCTCCCCTGTGCACATGAAGCAATGAAGTATTTGAAAAAACTTCGAATAAGGCACCCACATCTGTGGCCTGGAACTGTAGTTGGGGACCTCAGGTTCATGGTTAAACTGCTTTAGCCTTGGCTCGTAGCGGGTAACTAGCCTTAGGAGTCTTAGGAAAGGCTTTTCCGGCAGGGAGAAGTGAAGAGGGAGGCCAGCTAACTCAGGCTTTATTCTGTCTTGGTAACACAAATAATGCATGTGGCCTTGATGCCCAGTTAAATGCATTACAACCCTGTCTCTACACTAGTTGCTGAGCACTGCTGTTATTTTCTCCACCTGTGGCTGCATGTAAGAGGAGTCTGTTCCATGCCTCGCGGTCTTCTCGCTGTCATACTACTCACACTGCAGGTCACAACAACAACAGCATTACCTATAATGCTATGTGTCTGAAAGGAGAAGGCCTGGCCTATAATAACAGTTTGTTTGTGAATGAAAGCTGCTGTGAGTACCTTCTCTGCCATAGCTCACTAGCTTTAGCTGTAAAACAGAGCAGTAACACATCCACCTACAACTGCAATGCCTTGTGGGAGTCTCTTGGCTTGTGCAAGGGCAGAGTGCACACAAGTAGGAAGTAGGTTGACAGACAGGCCATCCAATGGTTTTGCTCGTGCTGAGTAAAATTATTGGTCAGGATTTTTTCAGCCCTGCTGCTGCCACAGATAACTTGATTTGTTTCATTATGTTGTCAATGCATTTAATGTATTCATTGCCATTAGAATGAAAAGAGAATTTCAAGATATGTGATGAAAAATGCTTCTGAAAAGAATCGCCACCCCTACCTTTAACATTGTTTTTCTCCACCCATTTTAATGCCATGAGTACAGCAACCAGTAAACACAGCCCGTGTAGCTAACATTAACTCTGCTCCCAGCTCTGTTTTCACAAGGTTTTGCATGGAGTCTTTTTCTTCTTCTGGCAAATTGCTACCATCAGAAGCACTATCGCCACCAGCTGTTGATTTACATGGTCCTTAAATTCTTGAAATCAGTCCTGTTTCATTAAGATAAGAAAATTTAAAGACATTAATCCTAGGTGAATGGAGTGCCCTATTGTCCGTATACTTAATTCTTTCTTGATCCAACTTCATCCTTAACAACTGTCTTTCATGAATATATTGAGGACATGCTCCACCATCTCTTCTTGGTTACAGGCATCACAGCTCACATTTGGGTGTTTCACAGTGAGGTAAAAAGAAGACCTTAACTTAGTGTGTATAACTTTAAAATACAGTTCTGCTTGTCAAAAATAATATCAATAAAAAAAATATGGCAGAGGTGAATACACATACTTTACTGTGCCCTAAATATAATAATGAGAGAAGACCTGAAGTACATGTACAGTGCTGCCTTTGAGTTTGTTTGTTATTGCTCAGCTGTATTTTGTAATGTCATCTTTACTTCTGTTTACATTGTCCAGCTGCCATCCAATGAAAGGAGAGTGCACATGCCAGCCAGGGTGGGCAGGACTTTACTGCAATGAGACCTGCGCTCATGGCTTCTATGGTCACGGCTGCCTGGAGCCGTGTCTGTGTGTTAATGGAGGGGTGTGCGATAGTGTCACCGGTCGATGCCAGTGTGCCCCCGGGTTCACAGTGAGTGGTGACATGATTTTGTTATTAATCATGAGTATAAATCAAAATGTTCCCCTTTTTGTATGGATATTCAGCAGCTTTTTGATGTAATGACTTAACCTGTTTTTATAACCTCTGCACTCATCACTGTTATTCAATTTTTATTTTTTCAGGGGGTTCACTGTGAGAATCCATGTAAAAGTGGCACTTATGGCAAAAACTGCTCTCTGGACTGTTCCTGTGAAAACTTTGTCAACTGCTCACCGATCGACGGGACGTGCTTCTGCAAAGAGGGTAAAACATTTTGACACAGCAGGGAACTGATAAAGAGGACATTTGTAAACAAACTGATGAATTCCAGTGGGTCAACTGATTTCCTATAAACCATATAACCAATTAAGCACAACTGACAGTCCTTTGGTCGGTTGCAGGCTGGCGAGGGCTGGACTGTTCCACCCCCTGCTCTGAGGGAACCTGGGGCCCAGGATGCAACACCACCTGTCACTGCGCCAATGGGGCAAAATGTAACCCTGCAGATGGGTCCTGCACATGTGCAGCCGGCTGGAAGGGGGCGCGCTGTGACCAGCCATGCTCTGTAAGTGCCTGGATATGTAGCTTTTTTAGTTTCAGTTATTTGTATCGAAAGTCACATTAAAGGATGAAACCAGACAAAAATGTCTTTTTGTCATGTCTGTTTTTTGATTAAGGAAATCCTTTAATCCAAGATGGTTTTCTCTTCTGGGAGACAATAAAGGCAGCCTTGAAACATGAATACAGATGCAAAAGCAATTATATTTCCAGAAACCCACTATCACTGTATGGGAAGTAGATAATATGTAAAGCAGGGTAACCTCCAACCAACCACCAGTACAGACATTAAGCCTCTTTGTTTCATGACACTTGCATCACTTTGCTGTATACTGTATGAAAGGTTTAGGTCATAAAGACTTTTGTCATTCAAAAATGTGTAAACTGCAAATACAAAGGTAGATGAGTTAGAACTTCATTCTTTTACAAAATGTAAAACTATAGACAAATACTTACTAAGATTAAACTGAATAAAATAAAATGAAAGTAGGAACATCTGAAATAAAAGGCAGTGTAAAGTACAAATTACGGTGCAACACTTTAATGAAAAGGTCACTGTTAATATGTTCATCTCATCACTTCTGTGTTTGCCTCCCAGATCAACTAACACTGTGCTGGACTCCAGCCATCAGCGCTGCATGAAAACACATGGCTCTTTGGAAAACAATACAAACTAAAAGATCAGAAAAATGCACTGTATAGTTGTTCTATGTCAAGTTAACTACAGTATTATCTTTGATTAGACTAATAGACAAATGAGAAGGGTAATAATTACACAGAGCATGTCAGCTCTGATTAGACAGTCTGTAGACGTGTCGTCCAGCTTTTCATCCCTTTCCTCACCCTATGCATGCTTTAATCTGTGTTTTGGATGTGTACCCCTCCTGTCTTTGCTGTGCCAACCCACCAGGCTGTCAATGCAGCAATACGCTGCCAGTGTAGTATTTTGTCTGACTCTGACTGGGCTGGCCGAATGTTGAAGAGATTCCCCTGACAGTTCTTTGCCCATTGGCATTTGTTCACATATGCAGATGGGCACGTTTGGGCCAGGCTGCCTGAAGAGGTGTGATTGTGTTCATGCTGACGGCTGCCAAGCTGCCACTGGGGAGGGCCACTGTCTGCCCGGGGGGTGGGGTGAGCGATGCCAGCATGCTTTAATCTGTGTTTTGGATGTGTACCCCTCCTGTCTTTGCTGTGCCAACCCACCAGGCTGTCAATGCAGCAATACGCTGCCAGTGTAGTATTTTGTCTGACTCTGACTGGGCTGGCCGAATGTTGAAGAGATTCCCCTGACAGTTCTTTGCCCATTGGCATTTGTTCACATATGCAGATGGGCACGTTTGGGCCAGGCTGCCTGAAGAGGTGTGATTGTGTTCATGCTGACGGCTGCCAAGCTGCCACTGGGGAGTGCCACTGTCTGCCAGGTTGGTGGGGTAAGTGATGACGTCCTCCTGGTGTCACTGCCAGCTTGGCTTTTGTATCACAGATAAGTTTGGTCCAACAGAAATGACTGAGGCCACTGGTTTTACTTCACTCTCTCTCTCTGTCATGAAGGCTAACCAGTGAGAACAAATCAACACTGCTTTGTGCTATAGTGAAGATTTTTTGGTTGTTGTGTTTGATGTTCTACTGTAACATACACGTTTTAAATAGTTCAGTAGAAAGTTAGATTCCCATTTAAACACATCAGCAAAGAGGCCTCTTCAGAGAATGCTCCCTATTTTGGTGAATTCAAGGATGTTGCCACTAAACCGCCAAGTTTACACATTCTGCTGCAGAACAGCACTTTCCGCTCTGTGTGTGTTTCCAAAACACTTGTCGTTTGAGGCTGATATTTTGATAAATGGATAAAGTGTTTTTCAGCAGACAGCTCTCAAATCTTGAAATGCTTGTGGCTCATTGAACCTTCCACCAAGGAAACCCGTTAAGAACAGTATTTGCCCTCAACTTCTCAGAAATGGAAGGCAAAAACAAAGTTGAAAAGTATAAATAACCTATAATTAATGGACTAAAACATGCAACACTACTGGTTCTTTAAGTATTAATAATTAAACACAGAAAGGAATCTATCTTCACATTGATTACTTTTAGGTTTGATAGTTCATTATCTGTAATGCTTATACTTGTTAACCTTTGCTGAAGTAAATTAATGAATATGGCCTTTACTTGGATGATGTGTGGGAAAATGGAGTATATTTCCATTTTGTGTACTTCTTCAGTCCCTGCCCTCACAGCTCCACCACACTCTCCGTTTCTTTCCTGCAGGCTCCCGCTGCAGTCTGCCATGTTCAGAGGGTCTGTGGGGTCGCCACTGTAACCAGACCTGCTTCAAGAATTGCCCCAACAGCGACACATGCTTAAGAGAAACCGGAGCATGTGTGTGTCGCCCCGGCTACTGGGGAGCCACATGTCAGAACAGTGAGTGCTGTTATCAAATGTTTACCGGACTGAGTGTGAGACGTCTGTCTTGGCTCATTCTTTATCCCTTTGTCTCCCAGAATGCAGAGCTGGTATATATGGTGACCAGTGTAGCATGTCCTGCCCCTCCTGTGGCCTCTCGTACCGCTGCCATCATGTGACAGGAGAGTGTGACTGCCTATCTGGCTACACTGGACCCAACTGTGATCAAGGTTTGCATTAACATCAGTAATTATGTATTCCCCCATGTGCAAATTGTTCAAACCCAATTTTTTATTTCTTTTACATTGTCTTAATGAGCTAGTGAAGGCGGTTTATGTGGCATTGTGTGTTTCAGTTTGTCCACCAGGCTACTATGGCAAACAGTGTTCTGAAGTGTGTGTGAACTGTGCCAACAACTCCACATGCGACCATCGGGACGGTCACTGTGAATGTTTGCCTGGTTGGACTGCTACTGACTGCTCCATACGTGAGTGCAACATCACATAGCAACTAGAAAAGTTCATTTTCTGAAGGAGGAAATGTCACCATGGCTGTCATGACTTGTTACTGCATTGTCTCATCAAAAGTTTTTCACTGGATTCACTAGATTTTCACTGGATTCCAGCAGAAAGTGGGTCATTGTCTTTGCACCATCACTAAAAATGCTTGTGTGACATGTGTCTAACACACATGTATCATATTTTGTTTCCAGCTTGTAGTCTGGGACGGTTCGGCCCATTCTGTGCTCAGACCTGCTCCTGTCCGATAAACCTCGTGTGTGACCGATTTACAGGGGACTGTGTCTGCGAAAGTGGAGGGGACGACTGTAAACAAGGTATAGAAACAAACAGGGTCTCACATAAGTAGAGGTGCTAATACATTTGCTTTTACTGACCTTGTGCAGCCATCTGCTTTCTTCCTTCTACCTGTTATGAATTAATTCAGTCCTGTCCCTGAAAAATGTTGGGGAAAAAACTTGATATTCCACTGGCAGTTCTGTGGTCTCTGCAGCTGTGCTTGTTCCCTCTTAGAGGTGGAAAGTTAATGAAAAATGCTTTAGTTGCTGGGCTTGAGTCCTCTTTTCACCCTCGACCCATTTGACAGAGTCATCTGAGCAGTCAGGGAGTGTTATGGTTCCTCTTCCGCCTGGTGAAAGAGAGTCATGGGGGGCCATTGGTGGCATCGTTGTGCTCGTCATCCTGGTGGTCCTGCTGCTCGCTCTGCTGCTGCTCTACCGTCGCAGGCAGAAGGACAAGCAGAACACGCCCACTGTCTCCTTCTCCACCAGCCGCACTGTCAACTCTGAATACGCTGTTCCAGGTACAGCACACAGGATAAGAGAGGAGAGGAGCGGGGATTTTGTGAAAAATAAACAACACAGAATGTCAATGCCACGTATATTGTATGCATGTAATCTAACACTTTATAGTAGGCACATGATGTTTGTAAGGAAAGAACAATCTAAGATGGATTGTTTTTTAACACTGCAACATTAATAATGTGAAATATTTTAGTTTTCCACAGTGATACTGTATATTAACCCTGAGGTCATTTTAATAGCAGCAGATCTGATTCCATGAGTTTGTTTTGGTCTGCAGATGTTCCACACAGCTACCACCACTACTACTCCAACCCCAGCTACCACACACTGAGCCAGAACAGGCCTCCTCTGCCGCACCTCCCCAACAACCACGACCGCACCATCAAGGTGAACGTCAGCTGTGTTACACCAGCTCAGGGATCTGACACAAAACAATCAAGCCTCACAGCATCTGTTCGGGGCTATAAATCATATGATGCCATAAAAAGTAGAGCAACAAGTCATAGCTCTTTAGCACTTCATACATTTTCTTTGCATTGATGATTTCTGATTATCATTATGTCTGCCACGCAGAACACCAATAACCGGCTGTTCTGCAGTCTGAAAAACATGGAGAGGGAGAGGAGGGGTCTGTTTGGGGTTGAGAGCAACGCAACTCTGCCTGCAGACTGGAAACACCATGAGCCCCACAAAGACTCAGGTCTGTTCCACTGACCCCACACTGTATGATTCTCATGAAGAATCTGTTATGCTAGATTTTATTGATTTAGTGAAGACACTTTAGCAGACAGACCTGCATCTGTAGAGTAAGGTTAAATGAGTGTAATAGCATTCACAAGTAAACGTAAGCGGTTGGTTTTCTGATCATCTGACCACAGCTACATAAAACGAATCACTAAAACTGTACTTTTAATGTAACTTTCTGCTAAATTACCTCAAAGTATCCCTTATTCTAAGTGTGTTTAACAATGAAATAATCATTCTGAGAGACAGTGAATACCAGCAGGAAATATTAGCTATCAGTGGCTGCAGTTTAAAAAACCTACATTGATAATGGACCTTAAAAATGTAACAAAATATTCTCAAGGCAAAAGAATATAAATGTAGAGCATTTCCAGCCTGGGTCACGCAACAAGCTGGGGACAGAACTCAGAAAGTGTTTTATTTATTTTACATTTTCTTTGGACAGAAAATGACTCTTGTCAACAATGCACATTTAATAACAAGATCAGGACAAAATTAAAAGTGATAGATGTGTTGCTGGTGTTCACTCACCGGGCTCAGAGTCTGCAGGTTTCTGAAGCAGCTTATCTGCTTTTGATCAGTTTGTCATAAATGAAAGTAAAGAAGCCAGTTTAGTCTTTTATTGTTTACAGGAGCTTTTGGGATTGATCGGAGCTACAGCTACAGTGCCAGCCTCGGAAAGTATTACAACAAAGGTAGTTCATCATTTGTTTTCTTCTCTCGCTAACCAACCATAGCAAAATACATCAGACAGATGAAATTACAGTATTTACAGACATTCGTGGCCTCCAGGATTAAACTTTTCCTCTGGTGTCACCTGCAAGTTAACATAAACAATATGGTTTTGGTACATTCATGTTCCCCCTCAGGATGAAGAGTAATTACTGTGGTGATCCACTGACTTTTCATCTAATGCTAAAATCAAAATAGAAGTTTAGTTTGTCCAGTACTTTGGTTCATGACCAAATACCTGCCAAACACGTCCTTTGTATACAATTTTGTTTTTCTGATTGTCCAAACATTATTATGCCGATGTATTCTGTTGATATGACTTCTGTTGCACATCTGTCTGTACTGGAAAAGGTTCCTGAGGTTTCTTCTATTTGTTTTTCCTGTTGATGTTTTTTTTAGTGGTAGAGTTTTTCTTTATCTGCTTTGCGGGTCAGAGAGAGGGTTGTACAGATTATAAAGCCGCTTGAAGCAAATTTGGGCCATACAACAACACTGACACACATATATATATATACTGTATATATACAGTATAAATCTGTCACGACTTGTTAATGTTAGCATGCTAATGCATATGAAATGTTTCTGCTGAAAATTTTACCACTGAAACCAGCTGAAATTAAAATGTCACAAACATCTGAGTTTGATTAAAAACAATCTAGACATTTGACTGTCCATCAGGTTCCTTTAAACCATCTCAGCCCATGAAATAAAAGAGACAAACTTTACTCAGTCTCAGGAACTTATAACTCATAAAGAAACACTTTGGAAAATGCCGCTGCTGTGCTGTATTACCTCTGCTCTACATCTGTTCTTCAGATGTGATTCAGATGTGTCTTTGTGTCCTGTGTGTTGACAGAGCTGAAGGACACAGTGGCAGTGAGCAGCAGCTCTCTGAACAGCGAGAATCCTTATGCTACCATCAAAGACCTGCCCAGCCTGCCTTTCTGTCCCCCAGAGAGCAGCTACATGGAGATGAAGTCAGCCATGCCCAGAGAGCGAGCTTACACAGAGATCAGCCCACCGCCCTTCAACATGGCCACATTACACAGAGGTGAGCAACATTTCTGACCTCCATACTAATGGGAAAAAAAATACAAGAGACATTCCAACAGACCAAAACCAGTACACCCAAAAGGTCATTATGTTTGATAAATGTAGCTGATTAAAAGAAGTTTACAAATTTCAGTCCTGCTGTGTTTTGATCCGAGTCTGTTTTATCTTTTTGCCTCAGAGCGTCAGAGCTCCCTCGGTCACCCTCCACACGAGGACCCCCAGAACCACTATGACCTCCCAGTGAACAGCCACATCCCGGGACACTACGACCTGCCTCCTGTCCGCCGACCCCCCTCCCCATCCCCGAGAAGAACAACTCAATGACCGGCACAGTAGCGCAGCAAGTTTCCCTCCTCTGCAGATTGGGGATGATTTCAGGTTTGCAAAAAAAGAGCAAACTTCATGCTCCTCTCTGACAGTCAGAGCTGTAGACCACCCACAGAGCAGAGGCCAGGCATCTGATCCTGTGAGCGACTCCTGTTTACTGCGGATAACCCTCGTTCAACTCAACTCTGCCTCTCTGTGGGCTAAAGTGGTACTTGCTTCACCGTGACAGACTTGTCATCCAGACCGGTGAGCCAGCAGGCTGTAGTGAGGACTGCTGGACTGTGGCGTCGCCAGTGGGGCTTCAGCTGCATTCACATCCCATGGGAAAAATATTCCTAAAGACTTCACAGCTGAAAGCAGCAACTTGGGATTGTTTGTGTTTGAAGTCATCAAAATATGCTGTAAATGATGTTTTCCACCGATTTTGTTTGCTACTGATCAGCGCGTTTCATTAGAATTCAAACTGTCTGCTAAAATAACAAATGTCATTGTTTGATGTTGCTATTTTATTTTTTGGTAAAATTTGAGTATACTGAATCTATAAACTTGCCAAACTTTTTTAACAGGGAGCCTTCAATCAGCTCATACGGCTGGACTTTCATTTATGTCTTTTAAAATTCAAAAAGGTTACGGGACCTTTTAAAGACACCCTGTGGCACATATGAGGTTGTCTTACAGCAAACTGCTTGGGTAAATAACTGCCATTTGACTGTCTTGTGACATACACATTAACAAAACCGGTTTTCTTTATTACTGATATTTCATCACAAACTATTGGTTCGCCACCTTAGAGCCAAGTTAGCATTGTCTTTTCCAAATGTGGCATTCACAGACACAAGTACTCACCCCGTTTGTTTACATGGTTCACTCATTGCTGTTGCCAGATGAAAACTTTGTAAATATTGAAATAGGAATATTGTTAGCCAGTCATGTTTTATGATGTACGAGTTTTTAAGGGGTCTGTGGGACCACAGATCACATTTAATTATTAATAAACACCAAAAGGTCAGTTTAAGCACAAATACAGTTCATGTTGTGAAAAATACTGTCAAACCAGGAAGTACAAGCCAACTCAAAGCAGCATTATGAATGTGCATGCACTGTCCAGCAGCAGCAAGTTTTGCAAATCAAGTCTGTGCATGGTAGATACTGCCAAAGGGGAAAGGTGTTTTTGTACTATGGGTGAATTGACCTGTTAAACATTCTGCCAAAAACACACTAAACTTCATGGTTTAAAACAGCCAGGGAAAAAAATCTGTAGGCCTACCGTTATTCAAGTCATTATTTCTAAACTTTGTCAATCAGCATCTTGCGTTGCCTCTAAATAATTTTAGAAATACTACAATGTGTTTGTTTTCTGTCAGTGTTGGACCAAAGGTTTACTATCCTGCCAAACCCAGTGTACCAGACAGAGTGGACATTGTGCTTTAAATGCTTGGGTAGAGCTTCAGCGTTTTTAAATATGGTCATATATTTGTGAATGTAACCATAAGATGTGTATATAATGTAAATAAAAATGGCTGCACTTTTCAACACCGATTTTGAATAAGTGTAAGAAATCAAGAAAATAATCAAGAGAAATCAATAATTGGAAAAACCTTTACTCTGCATTATATAAGTAGAGGAAAAAAAGCTACAAAATCAAAAGACATTCATTACATCAACCAAATTCTTGGCCTTTCCATAATGTCAATAGCATTGTTATGATAGATTTGACACAAATCCCACTCCAGTCTAATTATAATTTTGTCAATAAAGGCTCACAATATAAAATCCTTTTTCAATTACATTAAATCGTAAAGTCCTTCAAATTACTTGTGAGGCTTCCATTAAGACTTTAACAAGGAGGGCTCAGGATTTTACAAAGGCCTTTCAAGTGTTTTTGTCATGTAGAGCACATCTCTGGTTTAAGTGTCTTGCTTCTAGCGTTCAAATATTAAAGAGCAGCTGTTTCTTAAAACACTCAAACAAGAAAAGGCATTGTACAGGAAGAAGTTTCTTAATGGCTTATAATCGGTGAGAAAGTCCTACAAAAAACCCTGAAATTCAGAAAGGGATGACTCCATCAATAGCATATAGTACACAATTACATACAGTAATCATGCCTCATAAATTTACATGTGCATGAGAAAAATGCCATGCCTCTGCTGTTTGTAAATCTATGACAGAGAGACCAAATACTAAACACCTTCACTAATGTCAAGGACTTTTTAAGGCACTTTGGGGATCAGTGTCAAAATCAGATATTGACTTAAGGCAAAAAGGCAGGATACTATTTATTAAGTACAGTAGAAACAAAATCAGCTATCAAATATTTTCAGTAAATGCTTTGATATACTTTTCTCTAGAGTATGACTTTAGCTGTTAGACTACACTACAAATCTACCTGCTGTGCATAATTGGCGAGGTCCTCAATAAAAGCAGTGCATTAAACCAAAGTCACAAAGTATAGAATACCCACAATCCTACTCTGAGCCCAAAATCATGCCTGGGGATTTGCAAAGCCAGTAAACCTAGAGGAAAAAAAGAATAAAGCCCTAATGACCAGTTTTTAGAAGCAATGCAACCCACAGGACTGCAGACAGTTGCAAGACAGACACGAGGCCTGTGAGCACAGAACAGTGACTGTTAAAGCTCCTCTCTGTCTTCTCAAGGCACATTACTATTTGGTATCTGTAACGCTTGTTAAAATGCTTCCAAAAACTATGGTTGCACTCTCTAAAGAGGAGCAACACTTCACTAGTAAAACTGTGTTGATTTTGTTGATTTTGAAGGCATCCTAAAATATATATTGCATATATGGCACCAAATGTGTAAGTACAACTCAAAATGTAGTGTCCTGTTCTTGATATTTCCTCAAGTGGAAAACAAATTATTCAGTGTTCTATCATCATGACAAAACATCTTTGGAATTAATATTAAGGCAACAGCACAACTGACTCATTTAACTGGGAACATTCAACTTGTCTGGCAAACGATAAGAATTTCAAAAACATGACCCAATAAATTTCTCTGAGGTCAAGCTGGGAACTGAAGAAAAACAAAATTGCATGCATCTCAAACAACAAATTTCTCTGTGCATCACAGCTGCCCAACAGTAAAGTATGTCTACAACATGTTCAAGGCTAACATGAGAAAAACCTGCTGAATACCCTGAGCTTACAGTGTTTTGGTTTTGTTTGGAGAATTTTCAAGAAAACTTCTATAAAACTACATGATTTTCTCCATTGCATATAAAGACAGCACAACACTGTCACTCCCCCCCAAAAAAAACCTATTTCTATTGTAAACATAAGTAACATTTTAAATAAAGATTTGATCTCTTTGAAGGGAGACAAACATGATTAACAAACCCTGCAGGACTCATTTTCCTGTTGTGTGTATGGCTACAGACGTACTCCGGACAGGGTTCACTAGCTGTGCGTGTTGAGTGTTGACAGCCTGGCCATTAAATGTGAAACCCCGGCTCAGACTGAAGCACAAGCACTGGTCAATAGAGCTCTGAGTGTGTGTGTGTGTGTATGTGTGTGAGAGAGACAGAGAGAGACAGAATGTGCAAGAGACAAGAATACAATACAAGCATCAGCACAGCACACATGCAGTTACATAACTTCAATAAACTCAAAAGCTGAATATGATAATCCTGTGCCCTTTGCCAAAACCTCCAAGCAAATCTAACCTGTAGATTAATTTGAATACAAAATATGACAAGTTCATATAAAAAAAATAAAGACAAACATCCCAATAGTAGAAAACTATTCTATGTGGGCTACAGGAGGTGGAGGGTTCAGGTGAGGTGCTGTTTGGTTGTTACATGATGGAGCAGTTCTCCGATGGCTTGGTGCGACCCTGGAGGAGGAAGTGACAAAACAACATTAAATATGAAGAAAACTGAAGGAAAATAACACTAACAAATAGCTGGGGTTATGATGACAAGCCAGATCTCCTGAGTGGGAAAAAATAGCTTTATTTGGAACAGTCAGGTCGCTGGTTAGCTGAGTTGCATGCACTGACTGTATATATGACGGACGTCGTGTCACCACTTTCCTCCACTATGCAAAAGTTAAGCCTACTTATGGACAAGGCGGCTGTCATCTTGCTTTTTTGCAACCAGATTCTGCACAGTAGCAACCAGAAGTGGAGCAACAGCACTGGACCGCCAATCAAAGCTGTCACATCAACAGAAATACACTGGTTTATATCATCAGTCAACTTATTAAAAACAAACTTATCAGAAAAATGACCACTTGTACACACACGAGCGTGGTGATATCTACCAAAAATGACAGAAATCACCCCTAGGCAAAATTCATTTCATTTGTACTTCGAGTTTTTAGTTTGGCTCATGTCCCATCCACCAACATGGAGAATGCGGGATTTATAATCTATACTGCAACCAGCTACCAGGGGCGATCGAGTCGCGGTGGCTTCACTTCTGGGAGCTGTCAAGACTGTCCATAACATACAAGTCAGTATTTTAATGTAATAAATCTTCTAGCAAACCACTGTACAATATCATCAATAATGCAGAGAAGTGCAGTGCACAGCTTTTGTAATTATGTCAGACTGTATAATTCAGTAAAATATGTTTAATTTTTTAGTGGGAACTAAATATTGCTGTTCAAAAAGTTCTTTGAAATGTGTTCTACAAATACAGGTAATGCATTTAAATTAATATTTTGTCTGAACCCTATAAAATCATTTGTATCATATTTGCTACGTGAGTTTGAGCAAAAAAAAATTGCCCCATGTATCAAATGTGATTAAAAAAAAAAATAATATGGCACATTTATTTCTATATGCCTGGACTGCCTGTCTGTGCATAAATGCCAAATAAAAATCTTCTTTTAGATTTTGTTAAAAGGTTTAATAAACATCTCAGTTCCAAAAAATTAGAATGTTCTGGCTATTTTTTGATGTGTCAGCCTTTACAGGGTTAAATATAGTACAATGCTGTTCTTCATTAATGCTGTTAAATTACTGCTCATGTTGTACATCTATAACTACACTGTACCTGTCTGGGCTCGTTGGTACCCATGAAATAGGAACGATGTCCTACGAGGCCTTCATGTAGACCCCCACTGCTGCCAACAGCTGCGCTGCGCTCTGCTGGCTGTCCGCAGGAATCGCAGATCACTTTGCGGCTCCGCAGGTTGTATTCATTGTCTGCACCGCTCGTGCTGTGAGCTCCCTGCAGGGGGCGATACACGATAGGGTGAGTTATAACTTAACACTGACGCCTGACTGGGAGATGCTGCAGTCAGAGTGAGTGGAGAGGTGAGTTGCTCCTATTAGATAATGTTTTCAGATTTGCTCGATTGCTTAGAGGTAACAGAAGAGGGATTTACCATGTCATCATCTTCATCATCATGGAACAGGGTGCGTGACACTTTCCTCATGGCCATTTCCTGGCAGTGAACAGAGGAACAAAATGTTAAGCTACTGCAGTTAAAGGAGCAGAAATATGTATTTAAAGATAGGTGAAGTCAGACCTCTCCGCTGGCACTGATGAGGATGGTCTGTAGGAGGTCGCCAGTGCCCCAGGAGTTCTGGGTCTTCCACACCAGGTCAGTGGGAGGGCTGTGGGTGCCACCACCAGATGCAGCCCAGATCTGCAAAGGTCAAAGTTCACAGAGTTTACAAGCAATAATTTACTTCAGTAATAACTGCTGACACTGACATACTGCACGCTGGCAAACAAACAAAAACAACCAAGTGATTGAAGGTGTCCTATGGACACATGTGGAAGGAAATTCAACATTTTCAAAAATCTGTTTTTGAGAGATATTTAAAACCTGCATTGCTTCCTAGCTTTCTCTTTTACTACCTTTCTTGATACATTACTGAGGCCTGAAGATCGGTGGCAGGAATGTGGACTGTCTGACCATTACAGTCAAAAATATCACGGTACCTCCAATAGGCAAACAATAGTCAAATCACAGAAATGGAAATAACAAACAGCTTGTGTAACGTACAGTCACAGTTGCTCCAGCCTTCAGGGTGAACTTCGGGGGAAACTTGTAGACGATGGGGGTGCCATTCCCAATTTGTCTCTTCACCTGCCAGTTGCCCAGTAGTTGATCCTACACAACAGAGGAATGGAAAGACAAATGGGCGATTGAACAGAATTTATATTTATTCCAGACAACAAATAATTATTCAAACATTAGACAAAACAATATCAAGGCAAATGACCCTCAAAAAAACCCGAAGGAAAAAAATCTCATACCAAGATTTTTTTAAAGGCTAAAACTATATCTTACTAAACCTAGTCATTTTAAAATAAATGCATTTGGCTTCTAGTCACAAAAAAATGATATAATTCCCACACTGTGTCAAGATTCTACTTTTTATTGTACATTTGTATACACATGTGGTACCTAGTTACAGGTTACAATGTAACCAGGACACCACTAAGAGTCTGTTAAATCAACAAACACAACATGTACCTGTGAAAAAACACAAGGCAGTCAGAGGTTAACAAGATATCAATACTAGCTATGTAAATACAGTCTCAGTGCTATGAAATGACATTAAACCAGGTTGGAAGGGTTTGAAGAGCCAGCTGAAAGACTCAGTTACCTCATCAGCCTTGTTGCTGAGACGGATGTACTTGCCCTCCAGGTCAATCTCGTCCACTGTGACGCGACCGCTGGCTGAGGCCTGCTGACTGATGCGAGTCTTGGTCACAGTGCCTCCCACCAGGCTGGAGGTCTCGCTATCGTTGTCATTGAGGCGACGCTTCTTGGTGCTGGCCGTGCCAGAGGAGTTGCGGCTGCTAGAGGCAATAGCGGAGGAGTGGATCAGGCGGCTAGTGTGGGTGTGGCCAGAGCCAGAGGTCCGGGTCACTGTGACCTTGGTGGGTGGAGGGCTAGGTGACAGACGCAGCCTGTGGGAGGGATGGAGGAAGAGATTTAGATCATCGATAGAGACAAACTGAGACAGTGTAACATACTGACACAATCTCACATTGTAAAAACCTGTTGGTGCCATTTTACATCTCGTCCTTGCTGCTCTGGTGGTCTTACCCACATCCCACCGAGTCCAGTGACGCTCCAAGAGCCTGACCCAGAACTGACTAAGGACAAACTGTCTTTACCGATAGTTCAGCAGTCTTATGGAAGAATTGATGCAAAACACTATACCCTTTTATAATTTTAATACCATTCCTTATATCCTTTCTGTCCCTGTGATAGCTTTCACTGAGCTTATACCTTTCTCACTCTCAGATTTCTGTGATTTTAACACTTTCTTTAATTTCTGTCTGTATTTTGCTACTAAATTGCTTGAGTTTTTAAAAATGCTTGGTGCACAAAAGTATAGAAACAGGCATGTCCACAATCTGTTGTGTATCAGCCGCAAATGTCTGCATGCAGGGATGCAGTGATTCTAAGTGGATAATATTCATTATGCTGATTAGAGAAGCAGAGAGAGTGAAAAGTTTATTATTGTGTTCTGTCTCTAAAAAGAAACAGCAAGATATGTATCCTAGAGATTCAGTTTCAATATCTTCCCCTTACACCAACTGTACAACCAGTTCTCTACTGACTAGTTAGTGGTCCCACTCTCACCTCTCCTCCTCTCCCTCCAGCAGCTTCCTATAGGCATTAATCTCCATGTCTAGGGCCAGTTTGATGTCCAGCAGCTCCTGGTACTCATCCAGCTGCTGCTGCATCCGGGCTCGGATGCTGGCCATCTCCCGCTCTTTATCCTCTAGCCGCCGCCTCATTACGTCGCGCTCCCTCGACATAGCCTCCTCCAGCTCCCGCACCTTGGCCTCGCTTGCTGACAGCTGATTTAGAGAAAACGCACACACACACACACACACACACGGGCCACTTAAGCAGTCTGCACACGGCTTGTAACAGTACAAACACTATTAGTGTACTTAGTAAGTCAGGTAAAGCTTAATGTTAAATTGATCAATGGGGCTTAGAAGTAGAAAAACAAAACAGTGTTTTGGAGCATTCATGTCAATATCAGTTAGACACACAGCAGTGTGGCCAATAAAAACACCAGACAGATAAACAGTGAGTGTTACGAAGCGCATGTGTGTGTGTGTACCTGTTTCTGCAGGTGGCTGAGCTGGCCTGACATGCCCTCCAATCGAATACGAGTCTGCTGGAGCTCCTCATGAGCAGCTCCCACCAAGTGGCTGTTCCTGTCGGCTGCTTGACGGGCGTTCTCCAGCTGACAAACAGAGAAATGCTACAGTCAGCTATCAGCAGTGGCTAGTGAGGTAGTGGCACCAACTACTCAGAGTGATGTTTCACAAAAAAAATACACTCTGGCTTGTTATTTCATACAATGCTTACTACTGCACTAAGTTAACTAATTAAGAAATAAACAGTAATTCCCAAAAGAAATTTTCTCAAGAGGTCTTTAAAAACACTGAACAGTTTAGTTATGGTTTATTTTACTATTAAATTCCAATGACAAAAACTGCTGTTTTGTTTATCCACATTCCTCATTGAGATTCCCACAGGAGTGGTTATGCCTGTTAAATAAATTTCCCTCCTGTATGTCGATGAAAGAAAGCTAAAGAAGGATTTTTCGGCACTGAGACAAACTGAGATACTGACTGTGCAATAAGAATTTTAATCAATATTCTGCATTACCTGAACTGTGGACCATTTAACAGCAAACCAACCACACACAGCTGATCTACTAATGAGACTACTGTGTAACCTTCTCCACTTTGACTTGAGGTGTATCATCCAAACAGACCTTGGAGTTGTAGGTCTTCTCGAGCTCCTCCTTGTACTGGCGGACCTGATCCTCGTGCTGGGCTCTCAGCTCACTCAGGGCCTCGGACAGCTTGCTCTCAAAATCCTGCTGCCGCCCGCCGTCAAACTCCACCATGCGAGACTCCTGCCTACGCTTGGACTCGCGCAACTCCTACAGACACCAAAGAGAGAAGACGACCAACATATGAGGGTGCAAAGACACATTCAAACACAGGATTTTGTCACATGACTAGTCTTGAGAGAGTTGTGATACTTTGATTTAAATATCTGTTGCTTTATTGCAACTTTACTAAACTACAGATAGGGTCATTTGTAATGATGTTTTTCTCATTCCTTTCCATTTGGGTAAAAATCACATTTTGCCAGTTCTGCTCAGGACCTGACTGGGATCTGACCAAAAATAAAAAAAAACTGGCGTACTTGAACATCAATAATGTACATCTCAACATTTACATTAATTTCCAAATATTCCAACTTGCACTATGTTTTAGAATTTTCTTAAAACAAGATAAAATAATGGAGGTGAAAGACAAAAAGCATATCCATGAGACAGCTCTGAGGGGGGAAATGCAACAAAGCAAACGAGTAGCTTCTTGGAAGCAAATCAATATCCTGTGGAAAAGATGAAGAGTAGAAGAGATGACAGCTGAATAAAAATAGAAGGGTTAAGGTGAAGAGTGGGAACCTCGTTGGAGATGTTCTTCTGGAATTCCAGCTCCTCCTTCAGGGTCTGCAGTCGGTTATCGGCATCCACTCTCCTCAGCATCTCATCCTGCAGCTGCCTCTTGGCATCAGCAAAGTTTCCATCCAGCTGGGAGTGGGGAGGAGAAGGAGGGGAGAGAGAGAGAGAGAGAGGATAGAGAGAAATAATTTGTCGGGAGTGCTTTTTAATGGAGCAGCATTGAAATATTTTCATGAGACAACCTGTAGTTCCCCAAAGTGACCAGTAGGTGGAGGAAGGCCACAACTGTACCTACATCAGTCCAGTGGTAGCAGTCATTGATAAAAACAAACTGCAGATAATGCCGACTTGTCTGCCTCACCACCTTGTCTACATTCATAATCAACTGCCTGGAGGGTTTATGTAAAATGACTACTTCCAGAGAAAGCGCCTGCACTGAGACAGTCATTTCAAATGTCAGTCACTGCAGCTTTGCACTCCAATTACTGATTTCTATTGTAACAGGTGTCAACCAAGGATTGTAATTTTCACGTGATTACAATCAGTGTCTTTAGAGGTTAACAGAATGTTTATGTAAAGATTGAATGATTTTTTTTCTGCCTACAAATGTACAAAAATAAATGTTTTTACCTTGGCCAGCTGGGCCTTAAGCTCCTTCACCTCAGCCTCCAGGGCTCGCTTCTCCCCCAGGGCAGTGGTGAGAGCAGCATCTTTAGAGTTGAGCAGCGCCTCCAGGTCCCTCAGTCTGGCCAGAGCTGCCTCCAGGTCAGCCTCCTTTTTACTGTTCCTGTCACAAAACAAGACAGAGAAGATGTGGTTGTTAGTTTGCTGGTTATCCAA